GGTGTCAATATGACATCAGCACTCTTCTATTCCAAAAATATGACCCACTTTTCAATTTCCTAAAATACGACTTCCGCACTCTTCCTCCCAAGATCTGGATCCATGGCGATGGTGGCTATGGTAAGATCTGGGACAGAAGGGTCGTGACGGACATCGGTGGGGGCTGTTTTGGAGTTGAAGTTCCAGATCTATCAACCTAGCTGGACGGCGACTCTGATTTGGTGCATTAGGTGCCGGATCTGCCGGATCCACCATCCTCGAAGTCGGAGCTCCGTCTGAGGGAAAGACAGGGGGCGGTGCAGGGGAGGGTGCCGGGGACAGGGAATAAGGGGCTACAGGACTGGGTGGGGTTCTGGTGTGTAGAGCTAGGGAAGGGGAGGGGGCTGGATACAAGTAGGGGTTGTGGATGAGGAAGGGGTGGCAGCAGTGGATGTTGCAGCGGCAGTGGTTGGGGGACGAATAGGGTGGCGGTGGCAGCTTTGGCTAGGCAGCAGGATGGGCAGAGTGTTGTTGCTGGTGGCGGGACGACATAAAACTTTCTGTCAGCCACTATGGCCGGTGGACGGGCAGTCACTGGGGTCGGTGGGCCGGCAGTCACTGTGACCGGAGCAACGGCGGCGGCAGCGGTGGGGTCGGCGGTCACAGAGGTGCTGGTGGCTGCAAAGGAATATTATTAAAATAATAAATGTATTATTAAATAATAGGATAAATGACTTTTAGTCAGTTTTTTGGAAAAATTTAAAACTAGTCACATTTTTGTCATTTTCATTCATTTTAGTAATATTGGAATAAAAAAGCCTTTTAATATTACTTCGTATATCTCAAGAATCATATCTCATTAAGATTTATCATTTTCATTACCCAATTTTAACCATATTATTCATAGAGAAGTATTGAGCAGCAAATAAGCAGATTTGAAATTGAGGAGTGTCATTCTTTTAGATTCCTCCTCACTTCAACATAAGTTTATCCTATTTTAATTTCTTGGATATGGAAACATAAGAGTATAAATACTTAAATTATTACACCAAAATTTGTGTGGAATTTTTCCAAGTTACTATCGCTCCAGTGACCACAGTCTCAATTACTATTGTTCCAGTGACCATCGACCTAGTTAATATTGTTTCAATGACTACCATCTCAGTTATTACCACTCTGATGACCATAGTCCCAGTTACTATCACTCCACTGACCACTGTCCCAGTTACTACCGCTCCAGTGACCACCGCCTTAGTTAATATCGCTCCAGTAACCACCGTCCTAGTTACTACCGTTTCAGTGACCACCGTCCCAGTTACTACCGATCCAGTGATCACCGTTCCGTACTGCTCCAGTGATCACCGTCATAGTTTTACCACTCCAGTGACCAATTAACCACCCTCGTAATTATCATCACCACTAATTTGCATGTGATCTTTTTTTCCCGATAACCTACCGCATCGATGATCCGCCACTGGTGAAGGTTTCCCAAGTATACACTGTAGTGACCATCACCGGCAAATGACACCAATGAACGTCATTGTCAAGGTGGTGACCTCCCCTAGGCGGCGACACCTACCGCCGCCCCGGCGGTCAATGCCCCCAAGACCCTCCCTAGCCCCCTCACCAGCACCTTTCCAGTCTGGTGCCCCCATCCCCCAGCCCCCATCCCCCAGCCCTCTAGCCTCCAGCCTCTAGCAGCCCCCATCCCACGGCCTAGCCTAGCCCCTGCATAGTCACATCGCACCACCATACCGTGCCCCCCCCCAACTACCACCCGTGCCCTAAAGTATATGTCAAAGTGGAGAGTCCATTGTTCTGGATTCTTCTTTGTTGATGGAACAACCATCGTCTTCGTCGAAATCGGATGTTTTCTTCGAAGAAGAGAGCAGCATTGGAGATCGAAGAAAAGCTTCGCCGTTTCCATCTGGTATGAAGAATAGAAGAAACTCGTTGAAAAAAAGCTTCGTCGTTTCCACGTGAAGAAGAGAAAACACTCGAGGAAGAAAAGTCGGATGATTTGAAGAAGAGGGTGTCATCCTCACTTGTCCATGGAGAGAAAAGTTACACGAAAGAGGAAAAGCTGGAGTGGTCTGTGTTGGAGAAGAAAGCAGGAAAGCAGGTAGAAGAACCGATAGTATTTTGTACGGAGTATTTGCTTTACTGCTAGGAGGATAATTGAGACATTTCACGTGAGTTTTAGTCTCATATTTGTCCGTATAAAAACTAGTCTTAAATTTGTCCATCATAATCCCGGTACTCTTAGTTTCGTCATTCTTTCTAAGATAATTGTATTATAACACAGAACTAAAGAGTAAATAAAAGTTTCAACTTGAATTAAACGATGAATGTAACAATTTAATATCTTAAATAAGAAATTCATCATAACTGTAACAACAATTATTGATTTTGTAGTATGAAAAAATTAAGGAGTGACATTAATATTAATATTAAAGATTAATAAATAAAATTTTGTAATTTATCACTTCAAAATTTTCATCATTTGCAATAGAGCCAGGGATCCACTATTTTTGACTTGAGAATATAATGAAATAAAGCAAATGACTCATTAAATTGTACGCGCTTCTTTGTCATGAAGCATCAATCAGTCTATTCAATTTTCGATGCGATTTTAACCTTGGGTCATCCGGAAACAGTCTTTTTGTGCTTTAGTACAGAGATAAGATTGCGTAAATCTGACCTCCCCTTACCCCACTGTAGGTGGAAGCCTTTGCGGCACTAAGGTAATGATGATGATGATGATGATGATGATGATGATGATAATGATCACCTCAAACTATGTGGATCAATTTCAAAAGACCGAATACGAACAACTACAATTCACTTCCTTTTCGCATTCTATTATAGGGTTTCATCTATACAATTGATTGCGCTTACGATTTTGAGTGTCTTTGGCATTTAGCGATGAGCGGTTAGCCAATAGTGAATTATGTTAGTGAAATTGTCAATAGTGGATTTGACTAGCGAAATAAGTTGACAGGTTGCGAGAAGATGTTGAGTAATTTAGTTGTTTGGCTATAAAAATCAGTAGAAAACGCTATATTTCAAAACATTAAACGCAAAACTCTCCTATTTGTAGCGTTTCCATTTCCACGATGTTGTCCAAAAATGCAAGGATCGAACAACTATTTACCTGAAAATACTAAAGGGGGCCAAACCGCTATTTTTTGGCTTAAATGTCATTTTCCAAACACCGCCTTTACATTTCCAATTCTCTTTTCTATTTTCAATTTCTAGAGTTGAGAAACAAAATAATTACTTACTCTCCGTTCAACTCAACTTTGCCATCTTTAATTTCTTTTTTTTTATTTGCCCCAAAAAAATTTGCTACTCTCCTTCAAAAAAAAAAATTGTGGCTCTTTTTATTTCCTTCTTCTCTGCACAAAACTTAACCACACAATTTTTACTGTTCTAGTTTGACAACCAAAGTTAATAAAGTTGAGTGAGACGGAATTAGTATATTAATCTATCTCGAAAAAGAAGTGGAAAAGAAATAAAAAAAATCCAAAATGAGTCAAAATTGTGAATGACAAAAAAAGAAGTCGGAAACTATCATTTCTTTGTCACCCCTCAAACCGAAAAGGGACAATTACAATGTATTTGCGAGTTGGGAAGACCTAGCACCAGACCTCTACCACCTCGGTGCCAAACTTATATTAATGCTCCTCGGTGCCAAATCTAATGCTTTGGAACTGTCCAAACATTCAACGAGTCACCCCGGTGCCCGGCACCTACCACACCAGCGTCAGGCCCTCATTTTAAAACTGCACCAGGTCTTATTCTCGATAACAAAACAGCAGACAGTCATTCTTGGCGTACACAATATTTGCACACTTGACATATTCATGTGTACAAAGATAATTTCTGCATTTTTTCAAAATGAGTTGCATGTTTACATAGGTTACTAGGGAGTGCATACATTTTACATTGTTTATGTACTTTTATGTACATAGACAATTGCTGTTTTTCTATTGAGGTATATCTACATACAAGGGAGAGGGCTAAGTGTGGACATATTTTGTGCACGACTATTCTTTTTCAACCTTGTTTCTTCTAAAGCTCACACGGTGACATCGAAAAGTGACCCATGCCACCCTAAACCACGCATACAACCGAATCAATCTCTCGGATGACCTAGCAACACCACACGATCATCCTTTCTACTCAAATCCACTCCTTCATCAATTCAAGGTGAAATGATTAGTTTTACTACCTCCGTCCCTTAAAACTTTGTCAACTTTCTTTTTTTGGATGTCTCACTAACTTTGTCACTTTCCCATTTAAGTAAAAATTTGTGGTTCTAGTTAATTCTCTGTCCTCTTCACAAATCTCAACCACACAATTTTTATTTTATTAATCCCCGTTCCGGTCAAACTTGACAAAGTTTTAAAGGACAGAGAGAGTAGTTTTTAACCGTTTTTTTATTTTTTGCGCAGTTGATGTTTAGGAAACTATGGAGTTAGGTGATCATAGGAAGATAAATAATATTTTTCGAAAATGATACTCCCTCGTATCAAAAAGTTTGCTACAATAATGTAACACAATATTTAAAGGAAAAATAATAGACACAATGAATATCGATGGATACAATAGAATAAGGAGGAGTGATAGATACAAAAATACGAAAAGTGAAGATAAAGAGGGTGTTTGGCATTTAACCGTTAACGGATAATTTTCAAACGTTAACCCAAAACTCTTCTATTTACAATGTTTTCATTTCAGCGTACAGTCCAAAAACGCTAGTGTCGAAACGCTATTTACCAAACAACATTTTTACTTATCATAAAAGGTAGGTTGATCAAATCATCAATTTTTTTACTGAAACTGGGGTAAAAAAGGAGGTTCCTTCGCACAAAAACAAAAGAGGAAATGTAAAGCATTTAATTTAAGAATATACTGCTAACCAATTAAGGCGGTCTACCATTCCGTAATCTTCAATCCTTCGCCGGCTGCCCCTGTTAGCTGTACGATCTTTTATACAAAGATCATCTCCCTCCGGTTGACCTACTATTCATCACCCTTGCAAACGCCTTTTCTTCCGTATTCCGCTTTAAGGCCTCGGATCCAGAGCTTGTGCGGGTAAGTTATAAACATTTCTTGGATCCTTCAAGCTCCAAGTACTAGTCATTTGGTTTCATTTTCTTTTCTTCCAGTAGCCGAGTCTTTTTCTTTAGTCGGATGTAAATATGACATCCGATTCGTTGAATTTCCACCTTGATTTGTGTTCACTGTAAAACCCGAGGAAGCTTTGGCTGGATGGTGGTTTGATGAATACCGGAAATGGGCACTTAATCAAGATAAAATTAGGGTCAAAGTAAAGAACCCGTGAAGCTGATCTGGGTGAAAAGCATTACTAGGCAATCTAGGCATATCAATTGTCGTTTTATATGGATGGCAATTTCCTTATTAGATAATTAGAAGTTAGAACTGAATATTAAGTGGTTGGCTAAGTTGCCATTAGTGGCATATTTGCACTCTAAGGGTGTGTGTGTGAGTTTGAGGGTGAGGGAAGGGGAAGGCTTTGAAGGGGAGTAGAGAGAAGGGAAGGGGAGGGAGATGGGAAGGTATTCCCTCCTCTTGTTTGGGAGTTACAAATTTCAAAAGAGGAGGGTTTTGGGACTTGAGGGCTTTCAACGGTGGAGAAATGGAGCGAGTAGCAGCTCATAAAATTTTTGTGCCGCAACTGTATTAGTTTCAGAGGATAAATATGTCATTTGCGTAGCTATACCTTAGAAAACCCTCAAATCAGGGGAGTCAGAAAACCCTGGTTTTGGAGGGTTTAGAAGGATTTTATAACACCCCAAAACCTTTCCCTCATATTATTTGAACTCCCAAACACAAATAGGAGGGTTTATTTCCCTCATATGCTTTCCCCTCCCCTCCAAAAACCCACTCCCAAACACACCCTAAGATTATTCATTTGCCTAATACATATAAAGAACATCCTACCTCAATGTGAGATGGGTGCAAAGATGGGTCTTGAATCAATTAGAATCATAAATACTTGAAAATTTCAATTTCAGTTACTTAAATCTGCCATCAACAATATTGGTTCCTCACTCGTGAATCTTGACAAGCTGATGAATGATACTCTTTTTTACGTGAATACTGTTGTATACTTTTCCTTTGATGAATTGCGTGTTAAAATGTTCCACTATTGCAGTGAACATTTTGAGACACAGTTGATGGCACGTACAAATGCATTACAATCACCAGATAAGTCTGGAAAGTCAATCTTAACTGCCAACATGAGGTCTCCATTTCCTATTTCTCAGCAACAAAGCTCAGAGTGCTTGAATGGGCACGTTGCCATTCTTTGGGATATAGAGAACTGTCCGGTTCCTAGTGATGTTCGGCCAGAAGATGTGGCGGGAAACATAAGAATGGCCTTGCACGTTCATCCCATGATAAGCGGAGCTGTCAGAATGTTTTCTGCTTATGGAGATTTCAATGCGTTCACTAGACGATTGAGGGAGGGTTGTCAGAGAACAGGGGTTAAACTTATAGATGTTCCTAATGGGAGGAAAGATGCTGCTGACAAGGCTATCCTTGTTGACATGTTTCTTTTTGCACTTGACAACCCCCCTCCCTCTACAATCATGCTTATTTCTGGCGACGTGGATTTCGCTCAGGCACTTCACATTCTTGGTCAACGTGGGTATACTGTAATTCTTGTCATTCCTTCTGGTGTGGGTGTTTCGTCAGCTCTCTGTAATGCAGGAAGGCTTGTTTGGGATTGGCAGAGAGTAGTCCGTGGTCTTATGGGATGTTCTATTAATCTTAACTCAAATTGTCAAAACGAGGAAGAGGCCATTGTGTATAGAGGCATCTCCCAGAGCTATAGAGACTTGTCAGTCATTTCACAGACACATGTGGAATATGGTAGTACTTCAATTTCAGCTGGAAAGGTGTCTTCTAACTATGAAGAGCACAATGACTTGTCTTCGATTCAGCCTGGGGATCTCGATGGTTTAAAGGGTCAGGTGGTGAAACTGCTTGAGCTATGTGGAGGATGTCTTCCCCTTACACGTCTCCCTCCAGAATACCAGAAACTTTACTGCAGGCCTCTTTTTGCGTCCAATTATGGAGCACTCAAACTTGTTAACCTTCTGAAGAAGTTTAGTGATGCCTTGGTTGTGGAGGGTAAAGGTCAAAAGAGGGTTATCTATCTCCGTACAGAAAGAGATGGACCAACTCCTCCCCATATCCCGCCGAAGGAAACTAAGAAAAACAAAAAAGGAAAATGTGCGGTTCAGGTGGACAACACCAAGTGTGTGTTAGGATCTTCGGACGAGTTTTCAGACGATGAACAAGTAATAGTTGAAGAAAAAAAGAGAAACCCAAAGAAGTCCAGTTCAGCATTTACTAACAGGACCCTTGAGCAATTCAAGTATGAGCTCCAAGAGATTCTAGTAAGCTATTCATGTAGAATTTTCCTTGGATGTTTTGAGGCAATATATCAGCAACGATACAAGAGATCACTGGATTACAAGAGTTTGGGTGTGAATGAGCTGGAAGAACTGCTAGATAAGGTAAATGATGTGGTGGATGTGCATGAGGAAACAGTTAGCAAAAGAAAGTTTCTCTCTGCTATAGGTGGCTAGAAAGGGGTTAATGTATTTATTTAAGAGTCTGTACAAGAGCTATGCTGATTCTACATTATTCTTCACCTGCTTTGTTGTATTTGCTAAATGATTCGTGAAGTTTGGAGGAGTGAGCCCCTACGACTACATTCGTTCAAATGCTATGATTCCATTGAAGAATGGTCATGGTGCTGCAGATGCTGACAGCTAAGTCATGCTGCAGTTGCTTTCACTTGAGTTTGTGTTCATATCAGTCTTTTAAACACTTAACTTGGGGGGGGGGGGGGGGAGGGGGAGAGATGTGATTGGGTGCATTACCGCCACCCTTTAAGACGACTGGGTACGGGGGGTGTCCTTTATGATTCTTAAGAGAAAGATTTGATTGTTTATGGTGGTGGTACCATGACTTTGTTATTGACAACACTTATATGCATGTTTGACATTTAGAACAAGTTGTTGTGAAGTATTACTTATTAGAACAAGAGGTGTTTTACTGTGTACTCGAAGTCCTTTGCACATTTCAAATATAGTGGAAACAAGATCCATTTCTTAATTATCTATCATTCACTCATGGAGGAAACTGGCGCTTTGAATCCCCCGGCTTTATATCTGTTACTTTTAGTCATTGATTAAATACCTTCTTCATTTGAGTCCCACAGTTACCATATGTGTTATTTTTCTCCATTAGGGTTCTAAACCCGGATTTAAAAAGCCACTGGGGAAAATAGGGTAATGAAAATGGAGAGGTTTGGTTATATGATGAAGAAACCACTCATAGGTGATATTTCAGACTAAAAGAGTTATTTTTCCTAATAATGTATAGGGTTTGATGCGTCAAACCTCTTTGATAAACAAAGGGAGAAGTCCGGAGAACTATCAAATAAGCCCTCGAACTTTCATAAAAAGTGCAAATAAGCCCTTTTATAGGAGGCTCTGTCCAGACATTGTCATTTGGGGCGGTTTTCGGTGAAATTTTTTGATGATTTTTTTTGAGTATCTTCTTCATTAAGTCTAGTTTATTCATACCAAATTTCAGCTAAAAATTAAATTGGGAAGGCGGTCAAATGATTTTTTGAAGATAACTGTGTAGTTAGACAGCGCAATATATTTCAGAAAATCATTTGACTACCTTCTCGATTGAATTTTTAGCTGAACTTTGGTATGAAAAAACTAGACTTAATGAAGAAGATGATCAAAAAATTTAATCAAAAAATTCTACCGGAAACCACCTCAAATGATGACAGCCGGACAAAGCCCCAAATGCGTATTAGCTTTTGTAATTTAAAAAATGTGTCTAAGTCTCTTGCTTAATCGTGCACATAACATACTGAAGCAATAAATTTAATAATTTGAAAATCACGTGTCTTAATATTATGATTGAACATGTAAGTATATTTGTCAAAATGTTTAAGAGAGAATTCCCTAAATAGGAGTAAAAAAGTTTTGAAATTCCAAAATAGGAGTATCATGTTTTTTATTCCTTGAATAAGAGTAAATTTTTGCCAAGTTTGGCATTACTAGGCTTCAAAACATGACATTTTTTCCAAACATGGCAGATTACTCCTATTTAGGGAATAAAAAACATTATACTTCAATTTTGGAATTTCAAAGCGTTTTTACTCCTATTTAGGGTAATTTCTGATGTTTAAATTGTACAAAAATAATACTCAGTAATCACTTTTCTTTTATTCAACAATTAAGTTCAAAGGAATTTTAACTGCGTACTATAAAGTCATACGTAGTAATAAAGGGTGAGCATGGAAGAAAGGTGGAATTCTATATCAATTGAAAAAATCTGGAATTTTGCTGTATACTGTAGTGTGGAGCCTTCTTTCTCCGTAGCCCCTCCATCAATAATACTGGATTGTCCAAATGTATCAATTTTTTCACATTCCTTGTAGTGTATGACAAGTCGATCAATGAATGGACAAGATTGTTGCTAGCTGACATATTTGGGAATGTTTGGCAAATAGATCGACAAGTGGAAATAATATCACTTTTTTCAATTTTTAGAATTTATTTCAAAAATAAACTAACTAAAAGTTTTTTTCACAAATAGACCATTATATATGAAATACACCTGAAGTATACTACAATGCCTTCTCCTAACATGATTCGGCAGTTGCACTTAACAAAAAAACAATAGCATCATGCATTCCACAACCATTCCTCCTCTGTCACCGAAGCACAAGGCAAACTAGTCAACAATTTACGTAAGAGTAGTTGAGTATCATATGTAAAACTGACAAGGTAGCACTACATAATCAAGAAAACAATCAACTCACCACCATAAAAATCAATTATTGGTAGGATATAGTCTAAATAGCACATTGAACACCTAAAGTTTAATGTGCAAAAAACACTATGAATATTCAATTATCCTTGCACCTTAGTATTGTCACAGTGCTTTTTGAGAAAACCTTCATGACACTTGAATACACATTTAAAGAAAAGATGTTCCATTGAATCCAAACTTTGCAAAAACATCATTTCATGGTGCAACTTTATCATTATAGATATGTGTGCCTACACACATTCACATATAAAATTACTAGGTAGAAACAGAATCATAATAAAAATAAGTAATACAGAGTAATAGATAATTATAGTTGAGAAATTATTAACATGAATCAACATAGTGCAACAGAAAGAAACACTACACAACAAAAAGCAACAAATTAAAAATAACCAAGAGCCACAAAAAGTAACAAAAATAAAGATAATGCAACAAAAATAAACAAATTTAAAACAACAAAAAGCAACAAAAAGAAACAAAAAAACATGAAAAAAGAAAATAAAAACAACAGATAATAATATCTTGTAAGTACATATTTAATAAAAAGAGCACAAAACAAAGAGATAAATCACATCTACAGGCTATAAAATTGGCCACAATAATTAATAGCTAGCATAACAAAATGAAGCTAACATAAACATCACAACAAATATTCACAGTTTCACGGAATCTAATTAATAAACTCAAACACAACAAATGTCATTCAATTCTTTGAAGGTTCTAAGCATCAAATTGTATTCATGAGTGAACAAAACTAACAATTTAACCTAGCCTATGCATTTCATCAAATGTCAAGTGAAACCTAGCTATATTGATCATCTACAAGTTCTGGTGAGTTTCAAGAGAACTGCACCTTGTAATAGAATTATTATAGGCTCAGTATTGTATTTTACATTAAACTCTCTTTATTATAAATATATCTGTCAGGGCTCCTTAGAGAGCATCCGGTTCATTATTCCATAGACTGGTCAGGTTTCTTTTTAATTTGAGAAAATAAGCGCTTTAATTCCATAGATCTGGCCAAACTGGCTGACATAAAACGATTCTCTAACCGTTCTCAAATTTCACAAGAATGTTTTAAATCCCGAACATCAATGAGAATATCACGAGATAGCGTGGCAAATAACCATGAACGAATTGTTTGGTCAATGCGGAGCCAAGTAGAAAATTCGGGATTGGGAATTTGACGGTTAAGCATATCTATGGAATAAGCAGAGGGTACTTGAATGGAGCCATCTACCATGCCGAGGAGGCCTTGCGAGACAAGGAAAGACTCAAACTGAGTGCGCCATGTAGTGTAATCTTCCACCGCCAGAAGTTTGGTAGTAACCGGAGATGGTGCTGGCCATGGAAACACCGGTGGGATGTTTTGAAAGAGGGAATAAGGCATAGACGTCCGGTTGGGTGATGCAAAACTGGAGGAGAAGGTCACCTCGGACTCAACGGAGCTCATGACCGGCTGCGTTCCAATAGGGATAGGAGCACCAGTGATTGCGGCGGTGCTGACCGCGGCTGACGAGATGACAGCGGCAGAGAGGGGCGCTGCGGAAGAGATGGCTGCCGGCAAAATCATGTTGCTGCGGCTAGGGTAACGCCGTGAGAGGCGGCGGCGGCGTGTATAGAGAGAGAAGGAGGACCGAAAAAAATAGGTTTTTAATAAGCTCTTGATTCCATGTGAGAATAATGAACCGGATGCTCTCTAAGGAGCCCTGACAGATATATTTATAATAAAGAGAGTTTAATGTAAAATACAATACTGAGCCTATAATAATTCTATTATGCGAGAATAATGAACCGGATGCTCTCTAAAGAGCCCTGACAGATATATTTATAATAAAGAGAGTTTAATGTAAAATATAATACTGAGCCTATAATAATTCTATTACACCCCCTCAAGCTGTGCGGGAGAAACAACGCGCATGTTGTCTTTTAAAAAATGAAAGCGCTGTGTAGATACACTCTTGGTAAAAATATCTGCCAACTGAAGATGAGTAGGAACATGCTGAACAACCAGATCTCCATGTGCAACTCGTTCGCGAACAAAATGGGTTCTGTGAGCATGCTGAATACGATTTGCAGTCAAATAGGAAGCCGAAATATTATCACATAACAACCGCACGGGTTCTGTGATGGGATAGCCGAGCTCAAAGAGAACAAATCTGATGTGTAGTGTATCTTGAACTGTGTATGCAATAGTACGATACTCGGCCTCTGTGGAGGATTTGGAGACTGTGAGTTGCTTCTTGGACTTCCAGGAGACTAAATTAGGACCCAAAAATACGGCATAACCTGTAGTGGACCGTGAGCTATCAGGACATCCAGCCCAATCCGCATCTGAGTATGCAACAACACACGTGGGTCGATCAGAATGCTGGAACCATAACCCATGATCACGTGTTCCCTGCAAGTACCTGAAAATTCTTTTGACTGCAAGTAGATGAGTAGTACGAGGGGCATGCATGAACTGAGAAACTAAGTGTACTGCATAAGTAATATCTGGCCGTGTCAAAGTTAAATATTTTAACGCACCTACCATGCTACGATACTCAGTCGAGTCCACAAGTAACTCACCATCAGAAAGAGATAGAGTAGTACGAGATGCTAGAGGGGTGCGCACGGGGTTAACCGTGTGAAGATGAAAACGAGCAAGAAGATCAGAAACATATTTGTTTTGAGAGAGAAACAGACCTTTATTCGAACGAGTTGCCTCGAGACCCAAGAAATAGTGTAGGTTACCCAGATCCTTCATGGCAAAGTGGTTAGAAATAGTGGAAATAAATTGGGTAACAGTGGACTCACAATTGCCAGTAATAATAATATCATCTACATATAGTAATAAATAAATGATAGAATTATTATGGCGATAGATAAATAAAGAATTATCAGATTTACTACAGGAAAAATTATGCCGCAGGAGAAAGCTACTAAATCTATGAAACCATGCCCGTGGGGCCTGCTTCAGACCATAAATGGCCTTACGCAAACGACACATATGATTGGGAAATTGAGGATGAATGAACCCACGAGGTTGACGCATGTAGACTTTCTGTGAGATGACCATGTAAAAAGGCATTTTTAACATCAAGCTGACGAATAACCCAACCAAAAGATACAGCCAAGGTGAGTACAAGACGAACGGTGGTGGGTTTAATAACATGACTAAAAGTTTCAGAAAAATCAATGCCAGCCAGTTGATTAAACCCCTGAGCAACTAATCTAGCTTTATGTCGTTCAATAGACCCATCAGAATGATATTTTGTTTTATAAATCCACTTACAGCCAACAATAATCTTAGTATCGTCA